TTTTTTTTTTTTTTTTTTTTTTTAAATTTAAAACTCCTTTGGCCATTGAGCATTTCTATTACCACACCATGCTCCACCCACCCCACCCCCATGCACACACGCTCTCATCACGGAGGTCGTAATTTTTTTTTTTTTTTTTTTTTAATACAGCCTAGAAAATATTACTATTGCATTTGGACACAAGGAAATTTTGATACAATGAAACTGATTTAACTTTATTTTTTTTGTTTTGTTATTATTATATCATGATTTTATTTTTCATTAGACTATTTCATGTTAACATGTTTTAATTTTACATACTTTAATTGAGTTGAAGTTTATTTTCAACTTTTTGCGGTTTATGGATTTCTTTTTTTAAAAATAGGTCGTTACATTTGGGGAAAAAAATGCAGCATGTCCATATATAGCCTACATTTGCATTTAAAGGCATTTTTTAAAAATTGCAGCATATCCATATATAACCCACATTTGCATTTACAAGCAATTTTTTTTTTAAATCAGCATATGCATATATGGCCGAAATTTGCATTTACAGGCAATTTAAAAAAGAAAAACTAACTTAAAACAGCATTTTTTAGGCAAATAATCTCATGAAGCGGTAGTAATGTGAACTTTTAGAGATGATGTTTAAAAAATGGGCAATAATCAGATTTATTTTAAAATGGAGTGGTAGCTCTTTCCAAAGTTTCAGTTGACACGTAAGAAAAAATTTTGATGCATGGGAATAGCTAATTATTTAATTGCAGGCGTTTAGCATTGAGCGTATTGTGATGAAGAGATGTTAAGGGAAGACCAGACAGATTTAAAAATGAAAATTATAAACCGCAATTTCGTAAAAGTAGATCAATTCAAATATCTGGGATCCTTAATAAAGGACAGAAACGAATTACTAAGAAATAAAAGAAAGAATATCGGCCTGAAAAAAAAAAAAGGCTTACTTCAGTAGTCACAAATACTCAAAAGTAAAAACAAAGAAAACGGTATTTTAACTGTAATCAGACCAGTTGTAACATATGCAAGTGACAGAGGCGTAGCGAGGGTGTTTGGCGCCCGGGGACAAGATTCGCGCCCGGGGACAAGATCCATCTTAAAGCGCCCCCTTTTCTTTTTTTTTTAACTCTTAAACCCATTATTTTTACCAATAATATAATATCAAAGCACATTTTGGCGCCCCTAACTAGCTTGCGCCCGGGGACATCTGTCCCCCTTGCCCCCACCTCGCTACGCCTCTGCCTAACGAACACGGCACAAACCTATTAAGCAGATGGGAAAATATACGGACCAACAAAGAATTAATTCGGATGGGGAATAGGGACCAACCAGGCATTGTTTACCAGACCAGGATCCCGCGCTAGTAGCAGAAATTAAAAAAAGGGCGAGTTACGCTGGTCGGGACACTTATAAAGAATGCTAAGTGACAGAGGAGTGAAGAGGGTGCACCATCAAAACTACAGAGGAAAACGGTTCGAATGCAGACCTAGCCTTGGATGGATTGATGATGTGGAAAAATATCTACAGCAGCTGGGGATCCAAGCTTGGAAAAGAAAAAGCACCAGTTAGGTCTGAGTGTACGGAAGCGCCACTACAGGGAGGGATGGTACTAATGATGAAAGCTGCTTGCTAAGGACTATGAAATTTTACGATTAAGTTGTTTTTTATTAAATGGAAAAAATAAGTTATTTCAAATGTCAATAAGTTATGAAGTGGTAGAGTATGTAAGACGTGATTTTCTTATTACCAACAAGTCTAGGAGATCTTTTCTGAAGAGAGAGAGAGAGAAAGAGAGAGAGAGATAAGGGTGGTGTTGGTGAAAATAATGCATTTAAAGGGATGGGCATAACAGTGCATGCCTAACGTTACTGTCATGTAAGTGGTTGACACGGAAATCCCCCCCCCCCCGCAACCCAATCCTCTGGCGTACCAGGATGGGTGGAGTCCTAACGTTACTGTCATGTAAGTGGTTGACACGGAAATCCCCCCCCCCCCCGCAACCCAATCCGCTGGCGTACCAGGATGGGTGGAGGGGGTGGTTCGCTCCAGCTCCAGGTGGCATTCTTTTTGGAACGGCACTTTTGAGCTGCTACACATATGGTACTATACTTGGCTTAAATTTGATTTGTAGTTAGTACGTTTTGTGGTTTTCGAGATTGAGGGGCGCAAATTTTAAGGACCACCCTGGTGTCTAAAAACCGATTGGCCACCGCCCCAATCCACCAAGACTGCAAAAGCAAATATATTTACTCCTTTGGCTAAGAAAGAAAGTTACAGAACATAATTTAAGCATAGGAACATGCGACCATTGATAACAATATAATTTAGAATCTTTTTATAAATTTGTTATTTGTGCTTATTTCATGTAAATTGTCTATTTTAGAAACTTTAAAAAAATATGTTAAGGGACTTAAATAATTTTATTATTATTATTTTTTAAATCACCTAACCAACAGTTAAAATTGCATTCCTTATCATTTATGAGCTTTCAAACAATCAATGATTAAAAAATATCAAGAGCGAAGAAGAGTAATAAAATATGTTTTATTTCTTCTATTATTTGTTTGGTTGGTTAGCTATGAAAACATTTAGCTGCTTTGAAATTATTATTGTTATTAAATCCTAAGACATCTCTTCTCATAAGGTATATAAACTCATTAAAAAATAATAATAATAACAGGCCGATAGATCAGTTGCAGCCCCAGGAGTATGGGAAAAGAAGGATAACTCTAGTGACCTTGAGTTTAAATGAAGGTGGCGCTGTTGGATTAATGCACAAGAGCCATTGGTTAGTTGCTACTCATAAGCTAAACATTCCTTCTTGGGCTTACCAGGGTATTGTTTTCATGTTTTGTCTCATTTTCTGTAACGTCTTGTGAGTATTGTAGCCTTTTAATAAATTTCATTGTTGGAGTGTTATTATAAATGTAGCAGCTGTATTTTGTTTGTCATCTGATTAATTACTGGCTAGGGAAATCCCTTTTGGTCATCGTTGTTTCTCGAAAGCTGTCATGGCCGACTATGATCTATTTTTGTCATTTACGCAGTCTTTGTTATTACTTTTTGAGGGTTAACCCTTTTCTTCAACTGGTCGCACTTGGCCTGCATCATATAATGTTAAGAATTGAGATTGTTAACGTTTTTTTCTGAAAACTATGAAATGCAAAAGTAGACAAATTAAAACAGAATATGATAATGTAAAAGTAAAACAAATTTCTAAATAAAAACGTGGGAACGAAAACTGGTTCAGTGGTGAGGCTAGGCCTATTTAATTTACTATTTAGTTTTAGTATGTAATCTCAGTATTTAGGTAGCAGGTAGGGCCTACATGATTTCATATCGGGTGTTGGAGTTCCTGAAACTTAATGCTTTCACAAAAGAAGAAACTGAAGATAATAGCCATAGGCCTATAACTTACAATTTGAAGATTTTTGTGCCACTAGTACTAGCTAAGTTACATAAGCCATGCTAGGCCTAGACCAAGTTGTAATACTACTAATTAATACTAGTAGTAGTAGTAGTACTATTACTAGTATTACCAGTTGACCAAACTTTTATTTGGCATAATTCATAATTATTGGTTTCATTGTGTTCTTTACTAGTTAGTAGGGTAGGCCTTATAAGAAGCCGTATCTTCAGAACACCTCAAATAAACAAATTAAACCTTGCATATTTTAAAAACACACTTAACACAGGCAATATCTAATTAATATTGTTAGATTTGATGTGTGCACTAACAATATGAATCAAACCGCAGAAACACAATTATCACAAAGGATGTTACATGATCAATGATATATATCTTAAACTCTTTTCTTTCAGAGTTTTAGGTTCTGGTCGTGTTTTCTAAACTTATGGGCCTCATGTCTCCCCCACCGCCTACATGATAACTTTTGGGGTATTACTGTTCTTACCCTTTGGAAAAGCGTGCTGCTCAGAAGGAATCCATCTTGGCTCAGCGCCCCGAACATCTGCTACGGTGGCGACCCGGGGCATTGAAAGCTTACTTTTGGACAAATTAGGGACAGGACCAGTTAGTTGGATAAGCTTATTCAAATATTACCCACCACCTATAAGCCCACGAGTAGTAGGTGTACAAAATAGGACTTGTGATAGATTCAAATTGTTGTGGTTAAGAAGCATTGTAAGTTCTATATTGCACTGTAGTAAATCTTTAGGTTTGGGACAGTTTCTAGGGAACTACTTTTTGAAAACTGTCTGTTCATTGAGATGAAACCAGAGATTAATGCAGCAGCGGAATTCCTGTCACGGATTTTCCTTGCACATGAAAACATAACAAAGGAAAAGGTGGGGGAGTTCAAGCAGCATCTCTCAAACTTACTTGAAGAAAGATTTAGAGACCACTGGCATGAGACATGCCCAACTAAAGGACAGGCTTATCGTTGCATTCGTGTTTGTCCAGAGGAGCCACTTGATCCAGTTTTGGAAAGGGTTTGCAATGAGGTTGGAATAAACACAGAAGATTTTAATCTTCCATTTGAGTTGACACTATGGGTGGATCCGACAGAAGTTGTTTGCAAGTGAGTTTTATTAATTATTTTTATATAATCATCCAAATGTAATAGTTTTTTTTGTGTGTTGAGTGTCCATTTTTTTAAACTTAAAAAAATATTCAGAAATGACGTTAATTAAGTCTCAAGTTGGTGGTTGTAATTTTCCAGGTTGCTGTTTACTGGATTTGGTATTGATATTTACCAATGTAATAACACAACAATTTCACACCTTAAGACAACTTCGTCAATTACCCTAAAGGTTATATTCTCATTATGAAACCTGCCATGTATGTAGCTGATTGGTAGTCAACTGATTCACTTGATTCAGTGTCTCTGTTTATTAAATCCAGATAATTGCAAACTATTGTAGCCAGTAATTGTATTGTAAAGTTTAACTGTTATGGGGGCAGTAAATTAATACATTCTGTTTGCCAAATTGAATACCTGTCAAATGCTGAGGCAATTTCTGGGTCGCATGCATAAATTACTCCTTTCATTCCTTCACCTCTTATTTGATTAAAAAATGAATTGTACATTTTATTCTGGGCTGTTATTTTTTCCATAGGTTTGGGGACCTGAAGTGCTCTTACCATACAGTTGCAAAGAAAGACCAATCATCTGGCAATCTGGACAATCAAGCGCAGTACCTCGACATTGATGATCTGGTGGAGAATGCGCGGGACTTGTACCTAAAGAAGCAAACAGTAATCATTCACCCTGTGCACTCCACTGAGATGCATATCCCAAACCCGTATCCTGATGGAACCAATGGATTTACTATGGCTATCAGGATCAATGGCACCATGCATTACAACACATCTGGTTCACCACCTCCTAACTATGATGGCTCACCTCGTGGGAAAGGAAAAACTTCTCACTCGACGCATCACAAACGAGGAGGTGGCTTCCATTATTATGGGAAAAGTTCTGGTGGGAAGGGCACCTATGTTGCAAATGGCACTGTCAACTCCGGGGGCACACATCTACCCTCTGCGCACCACAGCTACCAGCACCATCGCAACCATAACCATCATCACCCTCATCATAACCATCATCATGGCAGCAGTGGCCAGCATGGTCCTTACTCAGCCTATAGCAATGGTTACTTGAATGGTTATGGAGATGAAAATGGCTCTGGCTTTGACCAGCGTTCAGCCTCGCCTTCAAAGATGATGGGGGTCATGCCATCTATGGGCAGTGCAGCTGGACCAGGGCAGATTTCTCAGAGCTCCCCAACACCAGAGCAGATCCAGCAGCAGATGCAGCATCCTCCTCCCATGCCATCTCAGATGCCGCCCCATCTCCATCAAGCCTTTGGTCACCCACCTACGGATACCACCACACTGCCCCCTCCTCCACCGCCACCTCCACAGCAGCAGCCACCATCCTCCACGACCACCAGTGCTACCACTTCCAGCAGCAGCAATAGCAACATCAACAGCAATGGTGCTGGTAGCGGGAAACCCAGCAGCAATGGAAGCAACTCCAAGTACCAGGGAAATAGAGGAAATGTGGGCTCAAGGAATAAACAGTCCAGTCCTGTGAAGGAAACGAAGTGAAACCTCACTGACTTGGTGAGGATTGCTTCTTCTTTCACCACTCCCAATCATCTGTAAATATCAGATCCAAAATGTCTGTTAACAATGTAATCATGGAAAAAAAGCTGAAATATGCTTTTAAGGTTCAATTGGTTCAGACGGATTTTACCTAATAAAGTCAAAAGAGCACCTACCAAGCCACCAAGGCTTCTCTTGTTCACTAAGGAATTTTATTACTGGCTGCAAAGAATGGATGGATTTTTGCCTTAGCTTTGAATGCTGTACAGGTGTCTAAACTAAATTTCCTTCTTATCTATTTTTTTCTTTTCAAATATTGTAATGCTTAAGAAAATTGAAGGAGAAAAAAAAAAGAGAAGCCCTTACTAATAATAATATATTGTGAAAATATTTTTAAAAATGATAATGAGTTTGCGTTTTTTTTCCCCCAATTGTTTCCAAAATATTTTAGCTACATCTTCTTATAACACTGCTTAAGTTTTGAGTGTTATATTTTTTACTATTTCAAACCCAAAAATGCACAATTTGTTATTTTTTCCTGCAGTTTGGTAATTTTTTAAAGAACTTTTTAATCTTTTTGTTGTGTTTTTTTTTAGATGGGCATCTTTTTTCACTTTTTTGGGTGCATTCAATAGTTACATTTATCCCCAATAGAATATCTCATATTTATTTTCTGCCAGCGAGTTGTAGAAAGAAGGGGAAAAAATGAAGTTCAAACTTTGATTGTTACAAATTTTATTTGTCTGATGTTATCATCCCAAGCTTTCTAATTTAATTACTTTTTTGCTTTAGTTATCCACACATTAATATCCACAGAGGATTAATTTTAGAGTTATTTTAAAGGGGGTCTTATTTTCCTTTCAAGAAAACCTTAATGGTGCCCTCTGTATCATATCAGTTTCTAAAGATCTGCTTTCACCTGTATTGGCATTGTTATTGCAGCTTCGAGTATTAAATTCTTGAAATTATTCTTGTGCGATTTAAGAGATAGTAAAACGGTGTGCTAATACGCTCTTGCTACAAGATCTTCAATTTTTTTTGAAAACTTCGGGTTGTTCCCTCTTGTAAATTTAAAACTACTGCTATCTTTTTATAACAAAGCTGTTTGGGAGTGGAAGGGCTTAGAACAAAGTTGTAACTCTTGCTGCTACATATTATTTTTAAAACGGCATTTTAAAATATTTTGTCTATGAGGTTGATGAATGTTTGTGTTTTTTCTTTTAAATTAAAATTTTATGTGTATTTAACTTCTTTTGGTATTTTATTTGGTTTTCCTCTTAACTATTTCTCCCAGCTTTTTATTGGACCCTTTTTTTTCAAAAAGGTACATCAATTAATCTGGGGATGATTTTTGAATTTTTAATTATTCGGAGATTTTATTGTTGTAATTAATGATCACAAAGAATCTATTCGTTGTATATGGTATTAGGTGTGACATCGGCTATAGATGTTTTATAGTTCTTAATACTAATTTTAAAACATTTTTCTGGTACTTCTTGTAGAAAAGTTGACCATTTCATATTATTATTATAGATAATTCATTTTAAAGAGATCAAAAGAGATTTAGTTCAAAAGCTTCATCTTTTTAAAGTTATACAGTCGTTGATTTTAGCTGTTAAATGTAATTGGTTATAATGGATTTTTAATCTTTCTTTGTCTCTGATTGGCTTTAATAATTCAAGTCATAACTTATCTGTTTTGATCTTAACAAAATGTAAATTGTAGCCCCACTTGCCTTATTGAGAGTTTATAGTACTGCTGACTACATTGTAAAATGGATATACTTTTCTTGTAGATTTTGTTTTAAGAAGTTAAATTTAAATTCTTATTACTTCTTGACATAAAAGTGATATGAAAATTTAATATGAAGAGGTTATTTTTTAAAATACTGTTCAAATTACACATGTTCTAAATTATAGAACCCTAAAGTAGAATTTAAAAATAAAATCATTTTATAATACCAATAAGGTCATAGTTTTAAGTTCTGTTCCGCAATACATTTAATTAAGCATTATACCGCACTGGTCTATCTCATCCTTTTCATTATTTTAGTATTAAAAGCGTGTTATTTTAAGGCAAAATCTTTTAGGGCCACCACATTTATAATAAGTATAAAGGCAAACTTTAAGGTTACATTATGTAGATTTTTTAGCACAAATGTAACGTTATTGGAGTAATAATCAAACTGACAATAACCCCATGCGGCATGATTAAAGTTCTTTTACCGTACGTTATACATCTCTTCTAATATCTTTTAGTTAAAAAAAAAGTCCTACATTTTACCCTTAATCTGATGGTTCAGTGGGCTTTTTGAATTGGGTTGTAAATAATTTTAACTATAACCATTTAAATTTTAGCCCCCTTGCCAAGATTTCAATTTCCTCTATTTTAATGGAGCACTCAAAACATGCAGAACTTAAAAAAGAAAATTGGATTTTGATTCATTTAAGGGGCATGTCTGGTTAGGTTTAACCACTTTTTTCGTAGTTCACAGCTTAGTCAGTTACCTTTGGCTTGTAATGACTTTCTGCTGGCAGCATGAACAATTGTCTGTGCTTTATTGGGTGATATTGACCAAGTGAGCACATTATATTTTGATCAGGATTTCTCAAGATAATGTCACATGAAGAGGAAATATTTTTTTAAAATATATATTTATCTGTGTAACTAAGGCTTGCTAGTCAGTGTGGAAAAAGAAGTTGGCTTTGGTTTGCATTGATTTTTTTTTTTTTCATTGTTACAAGAATTAATAGTATATAAGCAGAATTCTAATACATGCTGGCAGGCCATGAAGAGTAAAGTGCTGATGTGTTTCATCAACATCACAAATTATCCATCACATGGTGTTGGAGAGAAAATTAATCTGGTGCTTTCATGTGTATATAATTGCTTTGTTTTATGGAGAACTATAAATAACAGGTGTTTCAGTGGGTTTTATTTATATATATTTTTTTTTAATGAGATCCTTGTTCCAACAAGCCTATGCTATCTTTGTTGGCTGCTCAGATTTGTGTTTGTAAAATGTACATATACTTCTAAAGTATTTACATTTTGTTATCCTGGCGCGTTCCATCAGCACAAATGTTCAAATGGAATAGTGATGTTGTGTGTGAGAAATGTACTACTTATGTCTGTGCTAAGTCCAAGAGATATTATTTTATCTTCTTTCATAGTATATTTTCATAGTTCCCGACACTCATTTGTAGTTTGTAGGTTTTTATAGAAGTTAAGGTTAAATGCAATCGCTCATATTTTTAGAAATAAATTATTTGAAGAGATTTTTTTTCTTTTCTAGATGCTTTGGAGATGAATAAACTGTATATTTCTGTGTACCATATGATGTGAAATATTTTCATTTTTGTTGACCTGTAATTTTTCAAGACCAAAATTTTCTATTGAGCTTGTGTACATATTCCAGCTTGCTATCAGATGTTTGGACACATTGAAATGACTGAAAATGTTAACTATTCCTTTTGTGTACATGTTGTTTGTTAGTATTATTTGGTAAATTTAGGTATATTTAAATAAACTGTTGACAATGCTAGTTTGTTCTATACAACTTAATTTATTATGTCATTCATCTGAGGCTAGCACTTTTAATTGTTCAATATTTATCATAAGATTTTTTTTCCTGATGAACCTAGTAATTTCATAAGCTGTACTGAATTTTACAGAACAAAAGATGCATAAAAACTAAGGGATCATATAAGAAATATTTTTGTCTCCATTTTGCCTGGTAATAATCTTGATGCTCATTAATTAAATTGTTTTTTAAGGCCTACAAGATTTCACATATTACCTTTCTTTATACCATCCAATTATTATTTATACTAATTATTTTTTACCTTTAGCTGCACATGCAATGATCTTAAACTGTGTTAAATTATTCTTAGCAATTTAAAACCATTTAACATCAAATTTTGTGATAACGTGTTCTTCATTTGATCAGCTGCTAATCATATTATTATTTTTTTAAAATTTAAATTCAGAATGGCTACTCAATAGCAAATGCGTATCCGCTCTCCGTGTCCATCTATAAAGACCACGATTGTGTTAGATGAACATGGTATATTTCTGAAAAGTACAACTTACATTTGTTTGAAATGGCATCCCCCACCATGAATAATTAGTGTACTATATATACATAAATATATATTCTTTTGGTTGAAACTTCATTTTTTATTACATAGCTTCATAAAATACACCCATCATGAGGACCATTAAAAACTGAAATTATTGTACAATGCTTTATCAGTAACTTAAGTCAGGGAAAGGTTGAACATAAATGTGATTTCAGTGTTATCGTTCTCTTTTGTTTTTCTTTTGCCACCTCTCCTTTATTCTATTGTTGTTATGCGTTGGCATCTCCATAAGACTTTGTTAATTGTATATCATGAAAACACTGCCTGGTTATATTTTTCCCCCCCTCGATCAAAATGTTGTTTGATCATAAAATATAGATAAAGTATTATTATCAAATGATCAATTGTACATATATATAAATCTCTCATTAGCTCCAGCCGATGTATCATTTGTATATGGCTAGTTTGAAACATAACCAGTAAAGCTGGCAAGCAAAGTTGCTCAGCTCAAATACTAATCCCTCCTCAGACCTACATGTTCATATTGTCATTCTGAAAGTTATATGAAACTGTCAATATTGTACAAATTAAATTTTCATGGACTTCAGTAGCCAGTTCTGTCTAATTGGGGCATAAGTCATACAAGCTTTATCTTAATCTATTGAGATGACTTTGGTAATTCCTGTCTGTTATTCGTAAATAGATCAGGAAAAATGTGTGCACTTTACTTACTTGGAGGTGGGTGTCTTATAAACAAATGTTCTAAAATTGTTTCTATTCCCAGATAACTTATCACACAGGTGCAGGAGAAATGAAATATCTGTGGTAATTAAGCTAGCATCATTCCAGCTTTATGTTGACTTATGCCCCATTTACTATAGATAAATTTTGTATTGTTGTGCTGTAGGTGTCTGAAATGTGATAATCTTGGGGACAAAGAAACATTATGACAAACTGAACCATTGCCGTGTCTTGTATCATCATTCTAAATCCACTGGCTTATCATTTAATCTATATAATTATAACATAATGGATTTTTTTTTTTTTTTTTTTTTTTTTAAAAAAAATGTAATTTTATTTTTTAAATTTTATTTTTTTTTTTACCATTTTGTTTTTCTGTGTTTTTTTTTTTTTTTTTTTTTTTTTTCGTTTAAAAAAAATGTAATTTTATGTTTTAAAATGTACTTCTTTTTTGACCAATTTGTTATGCTGAGTTTGTCGATCAGATCAACTGGTCTTATCCTTGGATTTTTCTCTTATTTTAATCATCATTTTGTAATTATCATTGCAGACTTGCATTTAGTTGGGGGGGGGGGTTTTTTCTCCCCATGTGAGGCAATCAAGAAGAGTGTTTAAGTAAGCTATTTCA